AAATAAAATAATTATTTAAAAAGAATACAAAATATTGGGATGTTTTGGGCAGCACGTGGGTGCTGAGGGCTTCTCTTTAGGTTGGAAACCAGTTGCTATTCAGGTTACAACTACTATTGTAAATAAAGCCATTGTGAAATTTGGAATACATTTGCATTTCTTTACATGTGTAACAGAGATGACATGAAATTGTTTAGGTCGAGTGCCCATATGGCATTAAATAATAGCAAATCACACAGGGAGAAAGTGATTATTCATTTTTTAATGTGTCTCAATCTACCTGATTATTATCAAGGACACTATGTTGAATTAGTATGTCTTTTCTACTTTAAGTACCTCCTCCTCATTCTTTTCTTCTTCTTCTCCTTTTTCATTGAGAGGGTCTATCTGTGTTGCTCAGGCTGGTCTGAAATTCAAGATTCTCCTGCTTCATCCTTCCTAGCAGCTGGGAGTATAAGGATGACCTACTGTGCCCCACAGCGTTAGGCTCAGAGCCTTCCCAGACAATAGTCTCTTGTTATAATTTAATTACTTCTTGTCTTTTTGTTATATTTAGTTCTTTGGTTACTCCCTATTTATAGCAAGTCATGCTAATTTTCTATTTATAGTCATACTATAAGCATTCCTAAATCAATTTCTTTCAGTAAAAGAAGTGAGTCAACTTAAAAACAGTAAATGCTAGCACAAATGTAACACAAGACAACAATCTCAAAGATGAATGATTGTCTACAGTTTAGAAAATACTGAGATAGTCCACCAATTAGAGCTACGAATGCAGAATGCAGTTAACTAAAAGCAGAGCCTGAAAAACCAAAGCAACGACTCCTTCAGAAATATTCCAAAGGCGTGCAATTATATAGTGGACAGGCCATTTACCCCATTAAAAGTCAAGACCCCTGATGGTAGTTGGGGTTGGAGGAGGTAGGGTTGGCTATTATTGCCACCATGAAACTGAAAGCGTATAGGTTAAAAGGGTAAGGCAAGATAGGTTAGCACTTTCATGAAGAAGAATCTGACAGACTCCGATGGCTGTCAGACTCTATTTCTCAATTCGGTCATAGAAGGAATGGTCTTCTCTTGCATAGAGCAATTGGCTACTTTCTGAGAGTAATGAATCAACCTTGCTATCTTTGGTTTTAAGTTAATATAATCTATGGTTACATATCACAATTCAAAAAATTCACTTACAGCCTTACTATAATAAGAGTGTTATCATGCCCCTCTAAAGGCAGGACATGAAAAAAAGATTCAGAACCAGTTCTTCAGTGAGAGCCACAAATAATGTGACCGTCTCCCACACATCCGTAAGACCACAAGACAGATGGAAGGGCGGTGCAGAAAGAGGAGCTCTGTTTACTTTCCAGCATAATAGAGAGTTAGACCATAAGCTTTAGAAAGAATTGTTCTAAGCACCATGATAATTTATAATATAGTTAGGCAGTGTTGACACAACATCTTGAAGAAGGTTGCAGAAATAAAGCAACTCTGTGAGAGAGCAAGTTGCCCTATGCTTCAGACATAGGAGCAAGCAGCCCTATGTCTTAGATGAGTGAGACAAGTGAAAAAAGGAACATCTGAGTAATATAAAACTTGTGAAAAAAAAAAAAAAAACACCATGGCTCAGCAATGGATACTGCCTGATTTACCACCTAGAATGGTTTTATAATGACCAAGATCTAGTCAGTTTCAGGTGGGAATACCTTCTGTAATGTAGGTACAGTTTTTCTATCCCGTTCTCTATTCCTTCCACCTCTCTTTCTTCCTTCCCCCCCTTGTTTCTTTGCCCCCTAACCTACTATTTTCTGAGCTCTTGCCTATTCTCCAACCAATAGCCCTTGGAGTTATCTGTAGTTTATTGGACTTCATTGATTTTTTTCAAGCTTCTTTCTCCAATGCTGATGACCATACTGAAGGAAAGCTGGCATGGTGAGGCCCACTTTCATTGGAGAGCAATGGTTTCAGAGAACAGGTTCAGGGGTGCTAGAAGATGCATAGTGGTTACGTTGCTGGACTCCCACATGGCTGACTGGGGTTTGAGTCCTGAACTCAGTGGCTTGATCAAATTCATGCTGGGTGTGTGTGCATTCATGCCCAAGATTCAGGAAGAAGAACAGAGGAGTAGGGATAGTGGTGTGGCCATCCCCCCGGGAAGGTGATTTCTCACTTTCCTTCTTACTGTTTCTGTCTCTTCAGTAAGACAGTAAGAGCATGTACCCTAAGTCAAAAACCTAAAAAAAAAAAAAAAAAAAGTAGTCAAAAGGGTAGCTTTGTAGTTAACTGCATGATATTTTAAATCTGGCTCCACCACTTATAAACTGGGTGGCCATTGAGTAAATTGCTTCTGTGTGTGTGTGTGTGTGTGTGTGTATGTGGTTTCTCAATGTCCTCATGCATAAAATGAGGTGAGAAAGTCATCTCCTTAATTGGATTTTGTGAGGATTCCATGAATGAGTCTGTACAAGGTGCTGAGACTGAGCCCCACCGAAATGATAAGCACAATCTGATTGTTAGCTCCACATATTTGACTTTTCTCAGAAGCGCTCCTTTGAAAGAGTTCTATTGTCCACCGGCAGGCACCCTCAGAGATTTGATAACCACTTGCTACAGTTGCAGATTGTTGTAGTCATTATTTAAATAAACCTTCCATACCTGTATGCCTATACTTTTCACTAATTTTTTTTTCCTATCTCAGAAAAACTTCTTTCAGAACACAGGACCTCATGCTTCTCAAGGTCAGATCCTCCTTGCTGCTGTCCTTATCCTGTCACTCTGTGACTCAGTGGCTTTCCTCAGACTGTTCTTGTTGACAACACATCGGATAGTACCCAGATGAACCTCCATTCTACAAAGAAGAAAACGTGGAAAACGCGGGTTCTTCCAAATACTGGGTCATCGGAAAAGTTATGATGTATGTTTCTATGTTTTCCCATGCAAAAATGCATCATGACTTTTCTGACAACCCAATAAATTATACCACCCAGGTTCACTGTTAGCAAGAAGGGGATGAAGAGAATGTGGGTCTCCTGACTCTTATGCCATTGCTCATTCTCCAACCTTTCCCTTTTCCTCAACATTTGGTGGAATTTTACACAGGATGCATCCAAGTTCCTTTCCACTGTCTGAGCCACACCTCTCATCAATGACTGAAAATTCTTCCAGTATTAAAGAAGTCTCCCAAGGAGGGATGTCTTTGAACTTTCTCCCCACAGTGAATAATCTAAGACTAGCATGTTCACGTGCTCATTTATCGACTTAAGGTTTCCTTTACTTTTTTGCATCTAAGTAGTTCTAGGCCCTGTGCTGAGCCCTAGGTATTCAGGGTTGAATAACAGAGCCTCTGTGTTAGAGAAGCTGTGTCCTGCTTGGGTAGGCATGCGAATACAGTAAATAACAAGGTACAGGAAAGCACATTGTGTGCAATGTACCAGGGCTAGGGTCCGGTGCCTGCACAGAATGATAAGGAGAGCAGCTTACCCAGCCTTGGGGAGCTTTCTGAAGGAACTGACTTTGAATCTGGATCCTGGAGTAGGCATTAGTCAGGTGAAGAAAGGGAAAAAAAGTACTTTAGGCAGAGGGAGCAAATGAGGGAGGGACAGCAGGGGCAGGTTGGGGGAGAGAGAGCAGGGAGCGTTGGGAGAGGGCCAGTTGATCTATTCAGTAAGAGTGGGATGTCAGAGAAATTAGGAACAAGAAGGTCTGAAAGGCTCAGCCAAATCTTGAAGGATTTTGTAAGTTGTCCTGCAGAATTTTATTCTGGAGACCCAAGAAACCAACACAGAGGTTCAATCAAGAGGATGATAAGAACACATTTTACTCTGGTGGCAGCACAGAGAGCAAACATATTTGGAAGTTACTGCACTAATTAACCAGGGGAGATAAGAAACTGGAGTATCTCAAAACAGATACCTGTGCTGAAACATTCATTATCTGCTGTTAAATGTCCCCAGGAGCTAAATTCTTGAGAACTTACTAAAGTATAACTTCACCATTGCTTTTCCTCTTTCTATATTTTCTTTAATAACCTGCACTTTCTTACCTTAATTTGGGTTTAACCAGCCCAGGATGTTTTACAGGTCTTTCTGTTCTATTTTTGCCTGATTAAAAGCAACTTTTTCCCCTCTTGATCTCATTTACAATGGTCATTGATTTAAATGGCTGTTCCGAAACAGATTTTGTGTGTGTGTGTGTGTGTGTGTGTGTGTGTGTGTGTGTGCAATCTTATATAACATCAAGTTTCTCCTTTGGTAAGCATTAAACATGGAAACAAAAAACATATACTTTGAGAAATTTCATCTTTTCATACCTCTACCATATCTGTCACAAAAGAAGGTTCTGGGGTTCTGGATAGTGGGCAGTTCACATTTCACAACAGTTAGCCACCTTAGTGTCAGAGCACTTTCTCCCTCTCTCTCTCTCTCCCTCTCTCTTTCTGGTCAAACTAAAACTAAGTACATAGATGAATAAATAAATAAATAATGAAGTTTTTCTTTTTTAAAGGACACCTGATTAAAAAATTTTTTGTCAACTATGTGATTAACTAGCAGAACTGCTAAGATAATTTCCCAAAAAACTAGAAGGAGAAATACATTCTTTTTGTAATTTTTTATTACCCAAGATCAGATTTAAAAAGGTCAGTTCTTGAGTTGCTATTAATGTTATTATTATCTCAAGGGAAACTAAGATTCAGCCTGGGCTAGCAGTACATAAAGAGCTCCACAGCAGCTCCTCAGGAAGAACTCTGTCATCTGGGGCCAAAGTTTTGTTACCTTTTCCTGTCTGACAGTAACTAGGGTGTTAGCAATGAGTCCTTCCCAAGTGTGCGAGATGGTTTTAACTCATCACTGCAAGTGCACGCGCATACACACACACACACACACACACACACACACACACACACACCACTTTGTCCTATGCTCAGCTGCTTTTGTGCACGTCTGTCCACCCAGTGTTCCAGGCGCCCTTGGTGTGGGGTCCTACCCTGTCCGTTCCCGGGTACTCACAGGGTCTGCGTACTGGGCGGTAGGCTGGGGATGCTGTGGATATCCTTGCAGGTGACTTTGAAGTCGTCCTCCTCGTGGCACTGGCAGGGCGGGGACGGGCACCCCTTTCCCCCCAGGCTCCTAGGCAAGGCAAGCAGAAGCACCAGCCGCAGCAGGGATGCCAACCTCATTTTCCACCGGCCCCCAGGGCTCATGCCCTGCTTAGAGCCTCATTCCCCAGTCCTGTGCTCTTCCAGCTTCCCCGAGGTAGACGGAGACCGGGGAGCAGGAGGGGTGGGAGGAGGGAGGGCTCCAAGGGGCTGTGACCTCACCACCGAAGACGAGGTTGGCGAGGAGGGAGGAGAGGCTCTTAACTGCTCCGCTTCCCAGGCAACTCTCCATCCAAACAAGCCTACTGGCTTCACTCTTCTTGGCCCGAGCCACGCAGCTGCTCCGTCTGTTCCCTGACACCTAACACTGGTCCTGGCGGTCCTCCCTGCTTTCCGACCAGCCTTACGCGTGCCCCACATGGGTTTTCTCCAAAGCCTACTTTAGACGCTCCCTCCTTGCCCTGTCTCTCAACCCGAAGACCCGCTGTCCCCGTGGGTCACCTCTCAAAAGCGCTGCCTGTCCAGGACCCACCCGTACGCACTCTGTGCAGAGCAAGTCCCCGCGCAGTTAACCGTCCCAGGGCGGATCAGAGTCTCGGGTAACTTCAGCTGCTCCTGGCCAAAGACGTCTCGATCGAGAGTCGGAGGTGGGCCTGCAGCCCTGCCCGGCCAGGGTGCAGCCAAAGCCCGAGCGCTACACCCCTGGCGGGCCCTCGCAGCGCTCCAACCTCAAGGCCGCAGCGCGCAGGAATCGCCTGGCGGCGCCCGGCGCTCACCGCAGCCAGCCCGCTCCCGGCAAAGCCAGAAGCTGGGCTCTGGGGCCATCTGCCGTGAGAACCCGGAATGTCAGAAAACCACTTAGTTCCTGGTGCTAGATCTGCGACAGGGATGTGAAGGGGTCCTGCGAATTCTGGTGTGTCCATATACCCTCCTCCCAGCCCCGGAAGATGGGAAGAAAAAGAATTCTTAAGACTCGTCACTCTTCACACAGTAGCCAAAAATACCATCTTAAATATAAATCAGGGAATACTGATTTCCCTTTTCAATGTCTTCAATTGCTTCTTAATTCTTTGGGGTAAAAGGAATATCGATTTTTTGTTGTTGTTTTACACAGTGTGTGATTCTTTGTTCATGAACTTCTAGGACGGGGAAAAGTTACAGTGATGGAAGTCAGTAAGGATAAGGGAGATTGAGTAGAGAAAGACAAGGGCTCTCCTACGGGGCCTCTGTATCCTAACTAGGCTGGAGGTGAAGTGGGTGTAGATATCTGTTAAAATTAAGCCGTATTCTTGGAATAGGTGCATCCTAATGTTTATAACAGCTTTATTCATAATACCGTCAAACTGGAAATAACCCAAATGTCCCTCAACTAGATAATGGATAAACAAACACTGATAGATTTATACAGTGAAGTACTATTGGTGAAGTACTATTCCGCAAAAAAAAATGAACCGATGCAATATGCATAAATGTTGAACATGTAATGCTAAGTGAAAGAAGTCCAACTGAAAAGATTACCTATTTATATATAATCATTCACATAAATGAATTCATTTATTTGACATTCTCAAAACCACAGGGAAGGATGGACGCAAATCAGTAGTTGTAAAGGCCTGACTACCAACCAACATTAGAGAACTTTCTGTGTGATGAAACTCTTCTAAACCTTTTTTTTTTTCATTAAAAATTTTTTTAAAGGATAGTTGCACTTGACAGAAAGAGAAAGGAGAAAACAACCCCCACGAGGAATGGCCATACCATGATGTCTTTTCTTCCAGCAATTCCTTGTCTTCCATCTCTCCCTCCTCTCAGAATTTTGGGCACATGTGCATGTACACACACACACACACACACACACACACACACACACACCATGATTGTCAAACTACTAGGTCCAGAACTCTAGCCATATCATAGGCCACATGGGATCTGGCTGCCTTAACCACCAAGCCACAGAGCCAGCTAAAAAGTGTTCTAAATCTTGGGACCAGCAGTTAGTGTAATGGTTATATCGCTGAACCCCTATGTAGTCTACTGTGGTTCGAGTCCTGGACTGGTGGCTTAAACTCACGCCAGGCGTGTGTGCGTGTGTGCCCAAGATCCCAAGAGGAGAAGGTGTGGTCATCCCCCTGGGGGATGATTTCTTGCTTTCTGTCTCTCTGTCTGTCTTTCTGGTGAGCACATGTGCCCTATAGCAAAAATCTCTCCAAAAAAAAAAAAAGTGCTCAAAAGTGTTCTAAATCTTGATTGTGGTGGTGGTTCCTTAGTAAGTTGTTAATATGGTGAATAGTATTGATTTTTGAATGTTAAACTCACTTTGTATTCCAAAGATAACTCCCCCTCCCCTGCCATTTGATCATGGTGTATTTGTAGTTTTTAAATATATTTTAAATTAGATTTACTGAAGTTCTCTTTAGAAATTTTGCATAGTTGCTCATAGGGGATAGATAATGGTCTGTTATTTTCTTTTCTGTAATTTCTTTATATAGTTTCTATTTAAAAAAAATTTTTACTATTACTTTGAAAATTTGTTACAGGGCACGTGCACTTACCCGAGAGGGAAGGACAGTGAGAAAGCAAGCCACCAGGCCTGGGGCTCAAACTGTGATTAGCCGTCCAAGAGTCCAATGCCTTAACCACCATGCCACCTGCTAGCTCCTTCATCATATACTTTCAGTATCAATGAATTGTTACCAAAGTATAACAAGAAATAGCTCCCCTCTTCAAATTTCTGTAAGCATTTGTGTAGAATTGGTATTATTTGTTTCATAATTATTTAGTAGGAGTCACCCGTGAAGCTGTCTGGACCTTGAGTTTTTCTTATTAGAAAGTTTTAACTCCAAATCCTGAGGGAGCTTTGGCAGTTTGTGTCTTACAATGAATTTGTCCATCTCATCTCAAGTGTTGAGTTTATTGCATAAACCTGTTTAAATATACTTATAACTCCTTCATATCTCCGTAATCCATTCTAATGTCAACTCTCTTATATCTGATATTAGTCATTTACATGTGTCTTTTCTTGCTGACTAGAATATCTAGAGGTTTATCAATCATATTAATATTCTCAAGAAGCAAACTATGGTTTCATAGATTCTCTATTCTTGTTCCATTTCTTTTTCTTCCTTTTTGAATTATTTTATTCAACTTTATTTAGTTTAATTTGACTAGAGAGGGACAGAGTGAGAGAGGAGAGAGAGAGGGAGGGAAAGTGAGAAAGCAAGTTGCTGGGTCAGGGACTCAAACTGTGGTTGACCATGTGGGAATCCAGCACTGTTATCCACTATGCCACCTGCCGCCCCCATTTCTTTTTCATATGCTTTGATCTTTATGACTTTTTTCCTTGCCTACTTTGGGTTTAAATTATTCTTCCCTTAGTTTCCTTATTCTCTCTCTTTTTCTCTTTTCTTTTTTTGGTTTTGCCACAGATGTGCTCATTGGAGAGATAAAAAGAGAGGAAAAGTGGGAAATCGTCCCCCAGGAGGGTTGGCCATGACACAGTCTATCCTCTTCCATTTTCCTCTCAGAATTTTGTGAACTCACACACACATACCCGGTTTGAGTTTCAAGCTGCCTGGACTAGGACTAGAACCGTGGTTGGCAATGTGGGAGTCCAGCACTTTAACCACCATGCCCCCTGCTGATCCCCCTTCTCTTAATTTCTTAGGGTGAGGTTTCTTAGGGGTGAAGTCATTGATTTGAGACCTTTTCTTTTTTCATCTATAACATTGTACGTGCATTGCACCAGATATTTTCTGTTAAAGTGCTACTTTAGAGACTTCTCACAGAATTTGATATCTTATAATTTTATTTTCACTCAGTTTAAAATAGTTTTTGATTTTTCTTTCTGATTTTTTCCCTGATTCGTAGTTATTTTAGAGTGTGTTGTGTAGTTACAAATATTTGGGGATCAGAGCTAGCAGATGGCATAGTGGTTAAGGTGCTGGACTCCTACCTGGCTGATGGTTTGAGTCCCAGACCTGGTGGGTTTAAACTCACACCGGTCCATGTGCATGTGTGCCCAAAATTCCCAAAAGAGAGTGGAGGAGAGGAGATTACAGTGTGGCCATCCACCCTGGGGGGTATTTCTCACTTTTTATCTCTCTGTATCTCTAGCACACACACGTGCCCTACAGCAAAACAAATAAACAAAATTAATTAAAAAAATTCTTTTGGGGAATAAAAAAACGAGAACTTTCCAAATGTTCTGTTTTTAATGTATAAATTAATGTCATTATAGAAAGAGAACATACTTTATACAACTTAAAATATTTTAAGTTTAGTAAGCTGTGTTTTATGACTTTGAATATAGTTTACCTTAGCGAATATTTAGTGTGCACTTAAAAATGTATATTCAAACATGTTGAGTGATTTGTTCTACCAATTTCATTAGATCAAGTTCTTGATGGTATTTAAGTCTGTTTTTGCTGAGTTTTCTGTCGGCTCATTATAACAAGTATTGTGATATGGGGACAACAACTTTTTACTACAACTGGGGATTTGTTTTTTTTTATCTCAGTGCATTTCTATCAGTTTTTGCTTTATGTATTTTGCTGTTCTGTTAATATTTACAGCTATTATTTTCTTGGTGAGTTTAATTATTATTTAAATCTCTTTCAAGATAATTGGCTATACTAACAAAGATAACAATTCTGTACTCTGAGTTTTATAAATCATGTGTAAATAAAGCATAAAGGCATTCATGAGGAGATAAATGAATGTTTACCTGCTGTCCGTTTTGCACATTTTTTTAAAGAGATTTTTGCCTTAGAGTGCAAGCACTCACTGGAGAGAGAGACAGACACAGTGCGAGGGAAAGTGAGAAATCACCTACCAGAGGGATGGCCATGCCACAATCCCTTCTCCTTCATTCTCCTCCGAGGATTTTGGGCATGTACACTTACATGCCCGGTGTGATTTTCAAGCCACCAGGTCTGGGACTTGAACCACGGTCAGCCATGTGGGAGTCCAACAACTTAATTGCTACGGCGTCTGCTGATCCCATGTTTGCACTGTTTTAAAGGAGAAGTGTATCACAGTTTTGTTTCTTTCGTTTTTATTTCTTCCTCATGCTGTTTCTAAGAATTTCTCACTGATTCAGAGTAATTTGATTCTAATATGCCTTGATGTACTTTTCTTCATATTTCTTGTGCATGGAATATTTTGAGATTCTTGAATTTGACTTTTCTTTATAG